ATCCCAACCAGAGCTATCAAACACTGGACTCTAAGATCTGCCAAAGGTGACCAGAGTACCCTGAAACCGTTTAAACGACATGCGACAAGCCACGCGATTCGAAAGCGGATGGCGGAGCTCATCTTATAATGAGGACCAATTTTGGAATGTAATAACCCTAACGCATAATTTTACGGAACTATTCCAAAAACGATCCCAACCAATGAACCTCATCCGCACAAAACACAGCGAGGAAGGACAAAAACAATGAACGAAGCTTCGAAGAAATACGATTTATAAAATTCAGCGAATTATTACCACTGCAGAGGGAGAACCGAAATACCAGACGCAGGGACAATGTAATTAAATCTACGAAGATCGCAGCAGACGATAAGAAGGATATCGTCAGCAGCGATTACAAAGGATTGCGGAAGTGCTCGCCAGCGTAGACGGCCTTGGAGCCAAGTTCCTCTTCAATGCGCAACAACTGGTTGTACTTGGCCAGACGCTCTGAGCGGCATGGTGCACCAGTCTTGATCTGTCCAGTGCGGAGACCAACAACAATGTCAGCGATTGTAGGGTCTTCCGTCTCACCCGAGCGGTGCGACACCATTACACCCCACCCGGCAGCTCGCGACATTTTACAAGCTCTGATAGACTCTGTCACCGACCCTATTTGATTCACCTTCAACAGGAGAGCGTTGCAAGCCTTCTTGTCAATAGCTTGCTGCACACGTTCGGGATTTGTCACAGTCAAATCGTCTCCAACAATCTAAAGCAAATTTAAACACATTACCTCCACATCTGGACACAAATCTACTAGTTAAAAGGATTATCCACCTGAATCCCAGCCTTGGCATTGAATTCAGTCCAGGCGGCCCAGTCATCCTGATCGAAGGGATCCTCGATCGAAACAATTGGGTATTTGGAGAGCATCTGCATGTAAATCTCAGCCAGCTTCGACCCAGGGACGATGGAGGAAGCAGCTGCATTGGGGTTCTTGAAGTCCAAATTATACTTGCCGTTCTGGTAGAATTCAGAAGCAGCCACATCCATGCCGATCTTGACTTTGCCGGTATACCCAGCATTGTCAATGGCAGTTTTGAGAAGCTCAAGACCCTCCATATTGTCCTGGATGTTGGGAGCGAAACCACCCTCGTCACCAACGTTGCAGGCATCCAGACCGTACTTACTCTTGATGACGGACTTGAGATGGTGGTAGACTTCAGTGCCCATCTTCATTGCCTCTGTGAAATTTTTCGCACCAGTGGGCAAGATCATGAACTCTTGCATAGCCAACTTGTTCCCAGCATGGCTTCCACCATTAAGCACGTTAAATGACGGCACAGGGAGAACGACGTCCTTGTTACCAGCCAAATCAGCAACGTGACGATAGAGAGGAACACCTTTTTCAGCAGCTCCGGCCTTGCAGACAGCCAAAGAAACACCCAAGATGGCATTAGCTCCTAGCTTGCCTA